ATATGAATTCCGCGAACTTGACCGGCTTTCAAAGATCTTTCTTTGCGTCTACTGTCAAATGACAGTCCTTCAAAGTTCTGATCGATAGTGACAGCAGATGCTTTGAAAATGCGGAGTTGGTCTAGCTCTCTAAAACTTCAGTGTGAATATAAAGCCCACACGGTGGACTACTTGAAATACTCACAGGACCTATTTCCATGTCCTAATCCTACTACAAACCCAAGTCGCACAGACTCGAATTATATTTCATCCATGTGAGTTTGGGAACCTGGCCTTACACCAGGCCAGCCTTCGAGTTCCTGCCACTCCCAACTTTCCCTGACGTGTTTCATCTTTGGAACTAGACAATTGTTGGACATGAGGGAGGGTAAAATCAAGGCTGCGCAAATCGTCACTACAATCCAGTCGCTGAGCACATTACCGTTGCAGTGGTCTTCGAAAAACCGTCCTCTCCTTCCAGAACCGAGTGCGCGAAAAAAGCAGGGCCCAGAAGTAAAAAAACAACAACTTTCGAGTAAATTGTTGGAAAAAGAGAAATCTACGCATAAACCCTGCTGACTTGCCTCCTTCAAGCCAGAGAACTGGAAAACCTCAGCAGGACTACGGCCCTTGCGGTACCCCAGCTGCGGAAGGTGTAGGCTCATAATGTTGCCGTAAACTTGATTTCGGACCTTAGATGAGAAGGAAAAAAGGTATAAGTAATAGTAACTGAACAGTAGACAGACGTCAACAATTTGGGGAGATGGCGATATCACAGAGAGGGAGGCAGATCGGGGAAGCAATATGGGGCACAAACTTACACGTGGTTTAAAATTGAAAAGGTAGTTGGAGTGATCGACCATGACAATCTCAAAGGCAGAGCGGCGCAGATTGTACCGGCAAAGATGAATCTCTCGCAATTCGGCCAGGCTGAGAACTAATGAGAAGTCCGACTTGCCATCATAATATCGAACCCGTCCTATGGGGGGGGAGGGATGGAAAGTGTATTAAAGGTCAGTCAGTCAGCAGCCAGTCTGAAAGACGGTAGTAACTGTTAAGATTCCTTCAGTCCTACTACGTGTCCCTAGGATCGTGGTCGATTTCAAAGCCACCACTTAGAGAGTTGACTGTGGTCTTGAAGAAAGCAAACAATAAAGTAAAGAAGTTCTGGTAGTTTAAATATTTCGAGAATAATGACTAAATTAAGCCCCTCCGACGTGTCATGTGAATCGAAACCCCCCTAGTAATGATTGAAGTCGCTTTTCGGAGCAGTAGCGAGGAGAACAGGATTACCTGAAAAAAATTGGAAGGATTGGCGCATGTGTGAACCGTTGAGTGGTTAGATATTATGCTCCCCAAATGGGCCGCGAGGTATATCTGCTGGAGCGACACGGGGGACAGAACACGGTACGGTAAGCTTTATTCGGCTTGCGCGCCGATAACAAATACCGAACTTGGGGGGGGGGCGTGGTGGCACGCATAGGGGCGGCCTGTGCCCTCCTTCATTTCTGGTCTTATTGGCTGTCTTGACGGCGGTTACAGGTGAGGGAGTGGAAATAGAGTGAGGTAGATGCTTCGAAAGTCTACTCTCACTATACTCCAGCGCAAAACATGGTCTCTGCTGTGGAGCATACGGCGGACTTTTTCGAAATCGACAGTCCAACAACTGTCGGTTAGGTATTAAAATACTTCTGAATCGGTCAAATCTGCAAGGAATAGGACGCAATCGCAACTAAAGGGACCTCAAGCTTGGCTGCGCACAGAAGAACGTCGACCACACATATACCCTATTAAAATTTATAAGAATGTGACTAGTAAGCATCGCGTACATAAAAATTGCTAGAGTCAGTAGCTTTAAGAAAAGGAAATGTTGCCTAGGTTTTGCATTTTGCGGCTCGGAAGCCGGGCGAAGCAGTGACAACCTACAGTAGCCGCCGAAGACCATGCAACGCTAATTATAAAGTTTGCCTGGACACTTTGGCATATATTTGAAAACACTATTGTCATTCATTCAGTTTACTGAATTCTGCAAAAGCCTTTTACTTAGTTAAATCGTC